TTGCTCTTTTGTATCTGAGTCTGTTCTAAAATTGGACAAGCTAACAGTTCAAATTCCAGACACCTTAATCAAGCAAAGATCAACCTTATTTTCAGGTCCTTCTCCTTCTAAATGAAATCTGCAAGGGTAACAAAAATTGTCCAGTAAAAATGTGAATATGTTGTAAATGCTACATGGGAACCCATGGCTAAATGAAGCAAAATGAAATGAAAAACTGTTAATCATGGAACTATTGAATGATTTGGGCTGGAAGAGAACTTAAAGCCCATCCAGTTCCAAACCCCTGCCATGTGCTGGCTGCCACCCTCCAAATTAGGCTACTCAGGGCCGCAATCCAACCTGGCTCTGAACACTTTCAGGGATGGGGCATTCACAGATCTCTGGGCAGCAGTGCCAGTGCCTCATTACCCTCTGAATAAAGAATTTCCTCCTAACATCTAACCTGTATTGCCCCTCTTGTAGCTTAAAACCATTTCCCCTTGTCTATCATTGTTGGTAGATATAAAAAATCAGCCTCTCCCCTTTAGTGAAAGATTGCAATGAGGTGTCCCTGGAACCTTCTTTCCACATTGAAAAAGCTCAGCTTTCTCAGCTTGTCTTCAGAGATGAGGTGCCCCAGACCTCATCCTTGTGGCCCCCTTTGTTTATAAGTGATAAGAACTTCTTCACAGTAAGGGTGATAGAGCACTGGAACAGGTATTGCCCAGAGAGACTGTGGAGTCTCCTTCTGTGGAGACATTCAAGACCCAATTGACCCAACCTACCTGTGCAACCTGGTCTAAGGAGTGATCTCTAGAGGTCCCTTCCAACTCCTACAGTTCTGTGATTCTGTGATTCTTGTTCCACTCCTACAGTTCCATGTTTTTTTCTTCTGCTGGGAGTCACAGACCTGGACACAATAAGGAGATAACTCTCCAATATAGAGGGATGAGTCTCCAATATCAGGATACAAAATAACCCTAGTACAGATCAAAGTCAGTATTTACTGTACAAAACTTTTCTCCTGCTCTCAAACGGAAACCCTTTATCTACAGAAACATTCCAGATTTGGTCTGGAGGGCAAAGTGTGGAAATGAAAACTCTCTTTAGATCCACAATTATAGAATCATCAAATCCTTACAGTTGGAAGGTAATCTAGTCCAGCTTTCCTGCAATGCACAGAGACATCCATAGTTAAGTCAGGTTGCCCAGAGCCTGATCCAGCCTCACACTGAAAGTCTTCAGGGACAAGGCATCCACCATATCTCTGGGCAACCTGCTTTAGTGGTTCACCACTCTCTCTGTAAAAGACTTTTTCCTTATATCCAACCTAAATATACCCTCTTTAAGCTTGAAACCATTTCCCGATTTCTTAGGTGACCAATCAGTGCAACACACAGGAGCAAGGTCTCAGAGACATTCCTCATTAGTATTTCAATCATTTCAATGTCAAATGAAGGGTGGTAGCCATCAGTGTTGATTCAGTTCATAGTAACTATGGATCAAGACATGCTTTCCCCACTATCCAGATTCTTCCACTTTCTCTTAGATATACAGATCAAATTTTATTAAATTCTCCCTTCTTGTCACAGTGAATTATGAGCATCAGATGGATAGGGTTGAGTAGCTTATAATGTGCACATAGTAACAATGCTTCCAGATACAGTATTGAATGAATGATAATGTATGCTGATATTGGCTCAGCTGACACTGTATGTGGCCAAAATTCATTGTTGCATAAGAAAAAGAAAAATCAGGAAGAACTGTGGAGAAGGAACTTTCTTGCCAAATTCAAATCACAATAATGTTAGTATCACTTGGGAATAACAAACTAAATGGATCTGATTTTGCTTGCTGTGGCAGAAATGACCAGAAAGGAATGTTGGGCAGACCTTGCACTTCTCTGATTGGTGCTTCTTCTGCAGTTCACATGCTCCCAAGTCACACTGTATAACAGCGAACACATGACATCCTGGTGCCACTCTCCTGATTCACATTGTTCTTATATGTAACCCTATTTTGCCTGCATAAATAGGGAGGAATTTCCAGTTCCGCAGAGATACTACAAGTTTAGTCATGAAGATAATTAAGTCCTTTGGGCTTGAACTACCCAAACATTTCATACTTGAAAGAAATTCAGATATGACTCTTAATGCCTGGACTACTGCCATCTAAACAGTGTGGATTCATTTGAGGTTTAACGTTAGCTCCAAATTCTTCACATCAATTCATCATTTACTATTTATTATATTTACTAATTACTATTTATTAATATTTACTATTCCAACAAATAGTATTATAGAATACTCAGACATTCTAATGTACTGTACTGCCTAATGCTACCTACATATAAAAACAAGCATCCATCTTTCAAAAACTTCAAATTTAGTCTGTAAAAAATAAAAAAATAAACAGAAATAGAAAAAAAGAAAGTTATTAATGCACTTTTCCAAAGAAAATGAAACACAGGGAGAGCCCAGTCAGTTGCCCCCTAAAAAAAACACAGAAGACTGGTGGTATGGTTATGGAAACTCTTGAAAATTATTATCTCCCAAAGAACAGGAGACTTCGTTACTAGATCATTTTACTATGAATGCTTTGCAGTAATAACTATTTCTGATTTTTGTTGCTCACTACATCCAATTGGAAATATTTTTACACATTGCAGAACATCAAGAACTTCAGCACTGTAATGAATATATTTTTCCGTGACAGAAATCTTGAGAAATTTATAAAAAAATGTACATACTTCTTCATACTACTGTGATGGTCACAGAAAAGATATCTTGATACAGAAACAGGAACACTTGCTTGAAATCAAGCTTAGGTGTCTAGAGATCTTGGAAGGTAAGGAAAAAGGAAGAAGAGCTGCATTTATCAAGGATTACGGGGTCACAAAGAATTGCAGGGGTTAGAAGGGACCTCAAGAGATCAACAAGCCCAACCCGATTATGAGTTCTCTGTGCAAAGTTCTCAGCAATTTTACTTGTATTTCAAAGTAGAATTCCTAGAACCACCTGTGTTTGGAAATTACTGTAATATTTTAGCATCAATGCATGATAATGTCTGATTAATTTTATAATATCACCAGCAGTAAATGTGTGCATATCATATATACACATACTATGTAAAACATTTTTGGATTAATATAATTCAGGTCACTCAGAAGCCATTTGAAAAACATAATTACAAGAAATAAAATGAAACCTTTTTAAAATTTTATTGCAATGTAAGGTTAACTCTGAGCTCACTGAAATCTGGATACCTTTCAAACCTATGTTGCTCATGTGGAGAACAGTGAGATAATTCAAGCTTAGCCATTTGGTACACTTTCTTCAGGTCTCTGCAGAAGTAATTAAAACGGAATATGGATAAATCATTTGACAGCTTTCATTTTTATTCATAGGCTAAATTTTATTCTTAAACTAATACAAATCCATTTTTTTTACTGTTGATCAATGAAAATCCAAAATGATTGAGAGATAGAATACTATCCACTTATATTTAAGACTAACAAATGAATGTCTTTCAAGTTTTTCAAATAGAAAGGCCCCTGAAGAGTTATGTAATTCAATTTTGTTTTGAAAAAAATGTGAACTCAAAATCAATACTCATGAAGCAGGTGAAACTGATTTTATTATAAATAGGAAGATTATTTACGTGACTTCCTTATGATCTGAGTTCAAAATTTATTACCTTTTTTTGGACTGATATTTTTATATTAATTTCCTACCTCTTTAGTTTCTCTTTCAGTGGTGATGTAATGCATTACAAAATGAAGAGATGAGACTGAATCTCAAAGATCTTAGAAAGTTCTATCCAGTTGATTAGGGACTGAAAAGATTTTTTTTACCTTTCAAAGTTAAATATTCCCAGATGAGTCCTATGCCTAAAAGCTTAGTCCTGCTGTTTTTCAACTAATCATTTGCAAAACTGATGGAAAAATAAAAATTAAAAAGCTAAGGCAGAAAAAAAAAGAGACTTCTGGTAGGTGAGCCACAGCAGGGCAATTAAGATGATACGGCAGAGGTAGACATCTGCTCCTAGACAGATACAGTTCCACTGATGCTATCTATAGCTACAATCCTTCTGAGAGATAAACAACGTGCAAGAGCAATGCACAGAAGGAAATGCCACACTGAGAAAGTGATGATGGGAGACCAAGCTTGCAGCCCCTGTGGTCTGAGAAAGAGTGAGAGGCAGCAAAAGAAAAAAGGAGGGGTGACATGTGGGGCCTGTACCAGGCACATGCAGGTGGCCGAAGTCGTACAATGGACACACATCAAGATGTAAAGCTAGAAGCTGTGTGAGAACTGACACTGGAGGGGAGCAGAATCATAACGAAGATGAAAGGTACAATATGGCTGAGATAAGGAGGATGGAAAACCCCACTCTAAGTTCTATGAGTAAAGCTACAGTTAAACTATGATGAAATTCAGAAAAAATAATCTTTAACATGATTTATTGACTAAGATTTGAAGGCTTGGATAGTTTCTCAGGCTTTCAAACTCATATTTAGGTTCCTCACTAACTTGAGCTATACTCCTCAGTATAGATCAATAGATGGTTAATTATTTCTATTTCATATGATGTTTAGACACAGAAGTAGTGTTTCCCCTTCTCCTTGCATGGTGCAAAACAAACCAAAAGGAGGATTTAGCATCTGTTCCAAATAACTTTCAAGCCAAGGACTGTCACTGTTTCATTTAAGTAGTTTTTGGAGGGAGAGGACGCTAGCTAGTCAGCTCCCCAACCCCGGAGATGGCAGTTCTGAGAAGATAAAGCATATCACCTCCAACCACCACTATGTGGTAATGTGGTGGTTCTTCATGTCACCTGCCCCTCATGACATCTGCCTCTTAGTTTGTTTTGAGCAGAGCTTGTTTGCATTCCATTTTTCCAGCACAGAAATGAAGTCTTAGCATTCATTTGCCTTAAAAAATAATTAAAAAAAACACACAAAAACAAAACAAACAAACAAAAAACCCAACCTCAGTATTTAAGAAACTCGGAAAACTTACAGCAAGAATTTGAGGCTAAGGGGTTTGCAGAGAACAGAGACAACCAGCAGCCAGCCAGGATGTCCTGGTAGGGAGGTGTGCTACCTTGCACGATGTGCTCTCTTTCTATTCTGGGCTGAACCTAGGCCTTGATTTGCTTCAAGATCAACAACATCAAATTCTCATCCTATCATCCTATCTCATGCTTTTACCTCAAACCAAAAATGTAAATTATAATAATTATTCTTCCTGGTTACCATGTGGTCTCATTTGGTTAAAAATAAAAGTTTCTTTTCTCTGTCTGGGAAGAAGATAGCAATATCAAGCAGAAGTTTAATGAAAAACCGAAACTAACCTCAAGACGTCATGCCTCGGATTTATTTTTTTAATGCCCGCATATGAAATGTTCTTGTCCAGAAAAACCTTGCCTAGAACGTCCAAAGTTTTCTGAGTATCTGAAGAAGGTAGAGGTGGACCTAATGCCTTTAACAAGCAATTCACTTGAGGCTAGATTCTGCTATCCTGGCTCAGTTTAAACCCAAAGGTGACAAATTTAAATGCTTATAAACAGACTGCATTTGCCTCCAATGCATTCATTATGGAAAATTGGGCTATGAGGCTTTTTGTTTGTTTAGCTTCACTTTTGTCTTCCTTATTCTAGAGAGCAATCATGAATGTTTGAATGATGTAGATGTTGGTTTTAGTTAGTTGTTTATTGTTTGTTTTGTTTTGTTTTTAGACTCTTGCATGTTCCTTTCATTCTGCTTATTTCTAATTTCACATTCACACACATAAGCCTCAACTTTTCTTTCTGAGACATGAAAGTTGGAAAAACTCTGTTCTGTGAGTGCTCGCAGAAAGTGAAAGAAAAACATAAACTGTAAATATCTATTGTACATGACTCCAAAAACTTAATTTTTGAATATTAGTGTGAAATAAGGTCATCCCTCTATTAAAATTCACCTAGACCTACATTAAAGTATCAAAACATGAATGGTATCAGCAAAGAAAAAGCCCTCCTACAGATGTGTTTGTTATTAATGTATAATTTCTCCTTTTAGAATACAATTCTTTCAGCATATCTTATCCAGTAAATAATTCAAATATTTGGAGGCCATCATAAAAGATCTGGTAATTTAAACTGGTCAAGGAAAGCTGTAATCTTGGAGAAATCCCCTTTGGAATATCTGCAGTGACCATCTATCAACAGAGAATGACAGTTTCAGAGATAAAACCCCTAATGTTCATCAGAGTGTAATAATTTTTGGACATTTCAAGTGCTAATGTAGCTTTCTTATTCCCAGCTAGTAATTCCTAGGGAATCTGGCAGCTATGGAAATCTGTGAAATTAATCCTGAAATATATACTTGATTGATAACTATATTGTTTCTTTTTTTTTTCTTTCTTTCTTTTTTTTCCCCCAATTTTTAAGTGTAGAGTGTAATATCTGGGGCTTTTGAAAGAAACTGAAGATTTAGTACAGCATAGAAGCACCCTGTCTTCCTTTCCTTTCATGCTTCCTAATGCAGAAATAAAAATGACATGAAACTTTAGATGAGGAACTTTAGGAAAACATTTTAAAATACATTTTGGTGTATGTTGCATTATTCAATTTTAACCTACCGTGCTACTTTCAGGTGACAGATTGTCATTATGACTGTGCTTTCTTTTTCACTGGAGTCTATCACTTAAAAGAGTTCCCTCCCCCATCTCAGCTTTGCTTTTCAAGCTTTTTTTTATCTTTTCTACCTTGCTAGAGGCATTATTAGGGCAGTTCACCTTTGACCAAATGGGCAGACGAACATCCATCCTCTGGAGCCAATACTAGCGCTGTTTGGTAGATGAGCTCTCAAATGGTACTGAACTGTGACCTCTTCTTCTGTTCAAAGACTAAATACATAAACTTGAGCCTCCATTGGTGCCAAGCCTGGGAACCTGAGTTGCTCCCTAATCCCAGGTCTTGCAGCCAGCAGCACAATGGGCAGCTCACCATGCCAGCCAGCCAGCCTGAAAGAATGTCTTTATTCTCTCTTCCTCAACAAATTGCTTATTGTTTGGCCCACAGGCTGCTAGACCTTGTGAACTGTCCAAAACTTTACTGCTTTTCTGTTAAACTTTCTTCTTTTTTCCCTGTGATTTTGTTTATAAATGAAATGAATTTCTATTTTCACTTCTTAGCAATATCATTTTTAAAGACGATGTTACTTTTAATCTTTTTTTCAGAGTATATCTGCCTTTTAGACGCCTGCAGGATCTACAGAAATGCAAGCTCTGCAGGTTTAGGCTCCTTAGAAAGAAGGGTCTTGGAAAATGTTAAATGTTATAATGCAGTAAAATGAAGGCAAATGCTTCAGAGCATTCAGGTATTTCCAAAGATACTGTTTCTCTGCTTTTGGCCTCATCTTGACTGTGACTATCCTGTGTCAATTATATAAACAGTGAGTATAGGACACAACACTTGGGACCCTACAAAATGGAGTTGTTTAAAGGCATTTTTGTTTGTTGAAAGTTAAAACAGATTGCCTAGTCTGCTCTCGATCTGTTGAAATATTTCTGGAAGCCTCTTTTGTCTTCAATGGAAACTTCTAAGAATGTGACTGCAGGACAAGCATAAGGTAAGTTAGAGCTAGACAGAGAACCTGCAGTATAACATTGATATTGCAAGGTTCAGCAGACTTACCCTAGGAGAAGGAACACTCCTCAGCCATAAGCTCACCACATGAAGAAAGGAACTGTGATACATAAATACTGCCAAAATCAACAGAGGACTAAGGGTTCTTCTATACTTTTCCCTCATCTCAGTAACCTCCCATTGAGAAATGTCTATCTTTTATCTGGAGGATCTGAATATGTGGAAAGGCCAGTTAAAATCAATTTAAATACTCATGCACTTCTGCCTTCATTTTTTGAACATACTGGTTAACAGAGATGTCAAAAGTACAGAGTTTTCTTGAGCCAGAGATGACCTAGGAATTACCCAAATTTCTTAAAAGTGTATGCATGAGTGTTATATATTTATATATATATATAATTTAATACCCTTTCAAGTGTGAGAATGGCAGCACAAGAGTGGAAGAATTGCAAAACTAAAATGTCCACATTAAGCTGATGCATGGTACATACCGGATGATATATATACTGCCTTATTGTTCAGTTGTGGCTCAGGGAGCTAAATGCATAATTTAAGATATATGTACAGTCTAAGGGTCAAATGCTGTCAGTTACATGAGTGTAAATCATGAGCAATTACACCAAAGTGACTGGAGCTGCAGTACCCTGGATTTACGCAAGTGTTACTGAAAGCAGACTGTGAGTCAATATGTGTCATCAATACAATTGAGTTAGTGGTATTGAGGGAATTTTATGATATGCATGAACCTAAATTCTTCACAGTTTTCATTGATTATAATATTACTTTTTGTGCTTCTATTTTTGTTATTGTTTTTAGAAGAATAAGTGTCCCAAACTCTGATTCTGTACGTGACATTCCCACCAAATTTTCCCAACCCCAGTTCATAATGATATGACAAACATTTCACAGCTGCAGAAGCTTACTTTCTTTACCTATGTTTCAGGCCAAGATTTTAATTTATATAAATGCAGAATTCTGAATCTCATGCAGCCTTCTTGGCAAACATCTGACTACACGTAGAAATGCATCCTTACTCTCACCTGTTTCCATTAATAATTGCATGCATAGCAATGAAGGGCTAGGAAATGAAAATTCTTAGACATATAGGACAACAGGATTTTGATTCAGAAGGGAGGACTTTGTACTTGGCTGAGCAGAATGGGTATGGAGACTTGGCAGCAGAAAGTACAATCAGCTGTGTTATAGAGTATGGGACAGCTTTCTTAACTGATTATTCCTGGGTTTGTTAGTGAGGAGTGCAAGGGAAAGAAAATAGCTTTGCACTGAATCTAAGATACAACTCTATGGCACAAATCAAGGAGATATAAAAACTGATAATCTATTGGGGAGGTATCAGAGTACCTGCCAGATATTGCTGGCTCTCAATGACCTTATTTTGCATGGAGGAAGAATATATGATTTTCTGGTTTGAGAGGAGGTTTTTAATTCTGAAAGGAGGTTATGTGTTAAATATATGGTAGCAGTCTCTTCAATAATAGAAGTCAAGGCCCTTACGTGTGGAGCCAGAATCTAGTATTCTATCACATAAAATAATGCCATTATTTCTTAACACACTTTTAAATTGAATGCATTATTTTTAAATCACATTTTTATGATATTCTTGAATATCTAGAAAGATTAAAAAAGCCTGAAAGTAGATTCTCCAATATTCGTATAATCAAAAATGGTTGATTGAATTTGGAACACACACACAAAAAAAGAAAGCCATTTAAGATTACAGTGATCAGTCGGGGAGGGAAAGGGGGGGAGCAGCTTATCACTTCAAAAGAAACAGAAAAATGTGTTTGAATTAAGAAGGTCTGAATGGATCTCAACATCATAACGATAATTACCGTTAGGGTACAATTTATACTAAAAGAACTATTATCAATTATGATTGGTTTTCACTGAATAAAGATCTAGGAATTTTTTCAAAGTGAAGACACATTCGTCTATGCTCAACACGTACATGCACCCTTAGCCAGTTAGAGTACTGTGTAGGCATAGATTTGTCAGGATTCTTTGATCCCAAAAGGATTCATAGAAGAAAAATTTCTCTTTCTGAGAAATGATCTCTCTAGAGACTGATAGGGATGATACAATAGGCTGGAGTTGCTATTATTAAAAAAAAAAAAAAAAATTACTACTTTTTCTGACTATGTTTCTTTTTTCCCAGTGGGATTCTGATTCCAGACATTCTACCAGCCTGACATCCACTGGGAAAGTGATGACACCATAAATTATTTAGAGGTTTGAAAACCATGAGAACTACTGTATATAACCAGATTGGATTGACTTTTTAACTCTTTTGATTAATAATACATAAAGCCTTGGATATGTGAAGTGGTCGAGTGCTAACCTGTTAACAAAAGGAGTAACAGAGATGAATTCTAACATTTCTCATAAGTTATTCTACTTAACACATTGGCCAAATAAAACAAACAAATGAAGTGCTATGCCTTATACCTCTGTCTTATACCTTCAGTGCACCATCAATT